TTTTCTGTGTGTGCGTGTGTGTGGACGCGTGTATCTGTGTGTGTGTATGTATTACGTGAATGCACATAAATGTGTTCGTGCGTGATTGTATGAATAGCTAAAGTGCAAAATGTGTTTAGAATATTTATAAGTGTATGCATAATAATAATAATAAATATGAGAGCGCACTTCTTTGTACGGTGTTGTATTACCATGGAATATACGCCTGTCACTTATGTTTTCACGAAGCTGTAAACAGTATATTCTGCACATTATTTCTAGACGATTTGCACAATATGAACAAAAAATATTCAGTGGTTTAGAAACAGGTCATTTTTTTGTTTTCGTAATTTGCAACATTATGTGTAGGTACATGCAGTCATAATACATTGACCTCAGGCGGCGATCAGCTGTATACGCTCCGCGTTAATCACACGTTGCCGCTTTTACTACACTCAAATCGAACGAAAATTGCGTCATCACGATGAAGGACACGCGATTTTAATTAGTTCATCCAGTAAGGACAGTTAGTCGGCCCTTGGCCACCGGCGAGTGTTTGTGCTATTCTGTATCCTCGTAGATGCGCTCACGACAAATAACCATAATAATAATATTGTTGTTGTTCATGAGATACATATTTGTTTAGAAAAGTTTTCTTGTGGTAATAATTGTTTAGTCTTATTGCTTTCGTCATAATACACGGCAATGATGTGAACAATTAATGTTATCGTGTGCGCAAGACTCCGTAATGTAACGAGTCCTGCTAATTTTATTTTGAAAAGTGACAATATTAGGTAGTGACAATACTGTAGTTAAGTGTAGTGTGAAACTGAGTGAATAGGGAATATGCATGTATTTTTTTTAACGATTCTACTAGTTATTACATTACCAAAAATAAATATAACACATCCGAAATATAAACCGTTAAGCAAAAAAAGATTTATTGAAATCACTATCATTTTGGGGCAATTTGAACACGTCCATTTTGGCGCGCTTTTTTTGTGACGTCAGATTGCACTTTCAGGCGAATTCGATGTCAACAACGGAGTGAAGTTCACAAAGTTTCTAAAAGTTAAAAAAGTGAGTGATAAAAATTAACTTATTACCATGGAAAGCCAATAAAAACTTATTATAAATATTGTGCCGTTCCTTTGTTCCCAAATAATATCAAAACTGCACCTGACAAAGTATATTCAGTCATTGTGTTGTCTTTCTACACGGGAATTTAGTAATTCAACACTGAAAACGTATTAGTTATTAACTTAAAATGAAACAAATAATCACCAGAAACCAAATATTACAAATACACACAACTTGTTGACACTCTTGACAGTGTAGGTTGACGTCACGTTTTATTCAACCAATAGCGTTGCGTTTTAGAAATTTGAATGAATCTTAAAAAAGCCAATTTTTTGATGATTAAATTTCACTATTAAATCATAATAAATTTCAAAAATAATTGTATGGGTATCTTTTTTAGCAATAAAAATTACAAATAAAATATTTTGTCCATTTTGGTGTCACGTGCATATTCCCTATTATCAGTCTTTTAATTTTATTGGGTTATCGGTATCAACATCCATAATGTCGTGAGTGACCTTCAAAGCCACGGAATATCCTGCCATGATGTTAATTTATGGGAAACTATCAAAACGCATCTTTTGCTTTATGGACAGGTATAGTCTACAGACTGCCGAATTTTTTTAATGGCGGTACAAAGATTACGAGACAACCAAAGTAACTACTTTTTCAAGGAGTGACACGTACTGTCGGGTCCGAAGCTAGTCGAGCATTGCCAAAATAAACACGTGAATAAAATCGTATTCTTAATAAATAGATTTTAAAAAAGCAAGTGAAGTGATAAGTAGGTAGGTAATAAGAATGTAAAGTTCGCCAGATCGTCGCGGCGGCGGCGGCGCGTCGCTTTGATGTCGCCGACATAGCGACGCTGCCGTGTACAGTTCACCAACTCATGTTATCAATGGTGTTCTAATCCGGCAATTGTTTTATCGTATTTATTTTGTTCTAAATTTGCATTTCTGTATTTTCGTACTAATTTTTATATTTTTTATTTTAACCGACGTATATTGAACCGTGTAATCTGTAATTTCATTTTTTGTGATATGTATCATAACACCCGTTATAAAAGATTTCCTGTTTCATCGTAACTAAGAGACTTGAGTCAAGATGTGACAGCTTTATTGCATTTAAAACGTGTGTACGACTATATGCCAATCTGTTGCTGATCTTGTTGTAAAGATATCCATAGAGTGATCATTGTGTCAGAGGCATGATGTTTGCGATGCTTAGGATTTACAGTAAAGGGGTTATAAGCAAGAGCGGCGTGATGTTTCAGTATGATGCCCAAGAAAAATAGTTGCCTCACTGTTAGGAAATGGTAAGGACCGACTTACCTTCAACTTCAATACTGCCCGTTGGGCTCTTTCTAAATTAATGAAATTGCTCTGCTCTACATACATGCTCCGCCCCAAACCGTTACACAAACTTTATTATGGACCCAAATGTTCTTTAATAGCATTGTTTGGTTGCTGTGTTGCCTATTTGCCTTTTATTATATAGTTTAGTAGTTTTATTACTATGCATCTTGTTATGTGCTTATGTAGCGAGCGCTAGACTGCTATTAATTAAAAATATTTTTCTACACTTCACTTCAAACATTTCACTATATTGTTAGGTGAAATATTGATTTACCGAAAACATTCTGTTCCACATGTAATGTGTGCCCTTTGAAGTATTTTTTGACGAAATACATCGTGTATATATATGCATACAGGTTTACTGGTTAAGTCGACCTAGATACTTAAAGGGGTTGTAGGTTGCCATAATTTCTGATATATTTTACTATGAAATACCATATGGTAACCCTAACCTTTTTCATGAAATTGGAATTTTTAAGATTTTTTACCTCCTCAAAGTATTTTCTTCTTCATTAACTTGTACCGGCGGCGTATAGTGTACTACTCTGTCAAGAAAGTACCGGGAAAAGATTAATAATACACAAAATTTTCAAAGTCAACTTGACTTTGACTTTTTATTGACTTTGGCGTGTTTTTTTCGGTTTCGGTTCAGTTTGAAAGAAGGAAGGTGCCACTTCGAAGCTTATTAAGTAGTTTGCATGTCAAACTCGTAAACCCACGTCTCGTCACCAGTAACAATGCGTTTCATGAATGTTGGGTCGGAATTGACTCGTTTCTAGCATGTCCTCAGAGACTCTCATGCGATTGAGTTTCTGGAGAAAACTCAGGTCTTTTGGGACTAGCCGAGCGATAACATGTTTCATACCCAAATGATTAGTTGAAATGGTACGGATCGACTCGTGAGATACAGAAAGTTCGGCGGCTATCTTTCTCAAAGTTAAATGAGGATTTTCAGTCACTATTTCCTTCACTTTTGCGATGTTAACCTTAGGTGCAGACGTTGATTTTCAGTGACTTCGAACACGAAATTCCATTGACGATGCCAAATTTAAGACAAACTCTTTGTTCGATGTTTTTGTCCATTAAGAAATTCGCAAGACAAACTAGATATGATATAACTAAAAAAAGGCACTGTATTTAATATAAATAACAGATGCAACTCAAACTCCGCGCCAAAATGGAAAACAGTTGTGCTAATCTAACAAACAACTAAATAAAACCAAAAAATTGAATTTGGCACCATAAACAAATCATCCATTCCCGATACTTTTTTGACTGAATGTATGTACGGCATCTATTGGTACAGGCCCGCATTAATTACAGCACACTACATTTTCCACTGTGAGAGTCCAAGTTCTGGGGAACCAAATTGGTTTGAAGTTGTTTTATCCAATCTAAATTGTTGAACCATCTCCTTGTCTTCTTCATCAGTGAAACATGATCTACCCAGATCAGATCATCGCCTTGAAATAGAGCCGGTCGGTCGTCGATAGGCTCCGTCCAACACAATAACATCTCACTCGACGACCGGAATAGCGTGCTATGTATTCATCCACGAGTCCGTGCGGATACACATTGGCAGTATGAGTAAAATATCAAAATATGAACATATTCCTTGTTCGTATAGGTCGTCATCTTCAATAGTATCAGAAGTACAAATCAAACTCCAGTTAACAGTTGTAGATTATTTTTTTAAATATTCGTCAAAGTTAAAAAATCTACAAATTAATTTCCTTTTACTTTTTTTTTTAAAACAACTCCCGCATTAGGCATATATCCCGTGTCGCGGGGGACTTTACAAACATACATGAAACGGACACAAAGAACACCCAGACTCAGAACAACAATTTGTGGGTCACACAAAGTGTCGTCCTATGTGGGGATCGGACCCACAACACTTGGCGTAGTAGTAAGCGGCGTGGAGACCGCTTAAACCACTACGCCATCCGTGCAGTTATTAGCCATCTACTTAAGTCCAGTTTGTTAAGTTAACTACAATTTGGTAATGATTTTTTTTATTAAAAATGTATAGTTCCGAAAAAAATGTATTAGGCGATTTTTATAAAATTCTTAAAAGTCCAATATCTTGAAAATGGTTAGGTTTGGGATATAGTATTTCTTAGTGAAATCTATCAAGAATTGTGATAACTACAACCCCTTAAAGTATATGTATATCAATACCGCAAAACAGGGTTCAAATAGATTTGTAAATGAAACTCCAATGATTGAAAGTATTATACAGGGCTTGAGAGTGTTTTAAACTATTATTCTTAGTGTTGACTTAGTTCTGTTTATTTTTTATAATAACAGTATATTTACAACTAAACGTTTATTTTTAATAAAATTTCTTAAATATTTAGTAAACAGATCATTTTACTCAAAAATGGACTCCAAATCGATCAAATGATATTCAATAATTTCAGGCAATCATATGTCTTTGTTAGCATGGACGTTGTTGCCCGTTTATTCGTCAGGCGTGTTTATACGTCACAAGTACCTGCTGGTATTATTACGCCGTATCTTAAACCCTGTATATTAACTTCAGTTTGGAAGTTCCGATATGAATTGGCATTTATATTTCAGTATATTCGGCAAGAATCATACCGATGACAAAGTTGAAGATAAGACGCCTGCGGGCTCGGTTAATCTGCTCGACGACACGTTACTGGAATCGCCTAGTTCCGTTGCCGGAAGCAAAATGTCTAGGTCACTCCCACACAGGTATGACTCATTTATTGATTAACTTATTTGGACTCGTTAAGTTGAATAAAAGAATAGGGTTTAAAATACACGTGACACATCAAAAAAGTATAAGCAAGACGCATATTTTACAGAAACTGCATGTTCTCTTTTTTTTTTTCTTTGTGTTAAGGCTTCTTCTTGGTTAAGGAAAAAATAGGTGGACTGTATAACAATATAATATGATATGAAACAGTACAATGTTGGTTAAACTTAATGTGCGCGCGTTGCTCGTGTTCGGTCGTTGTTGAGTGAGGTCGTGACAGCCCGCGCGCTGTCGCCGCCGGTCACACCGCGCCCTCCGAGCGCCTCCCTGCGGGGGCACGATTCATGCGCTGGGTGCTTGAACGCTTTGATATGTTATTTTTTTTCTTAGCAAAGGAAGATTGGTATGCAATCTTTTTTGTTCTCAGAAACATATACAGGCTGATTTTTATAAATAGAAACTTTTTGATTGTTTTGTTTTCATAAAAAATTTTTTAGCTAATAGCTTTAATAGCTAATTTTTTTTTTCGATTTCATGTGTTTTCCTTGCTTGATAAATTGGGCATTTATCTGAGATATACAGTTTAAAAAAAAAATGTTTGACACCATTTGACTGTTTATGAAATGCAGAGAGCTGTAGGAATGCTACTAGCCCAAAGAAAGCAGTCCCAGGTATCTCGGAATTTTGGTATCAATAGGATTTGTCGTCTTTGGCAGCGTTATATTAATACAGGGGATCCTGCTGAGCATCACCCAGGACGTGGAAGAAGTACACCTGCCCGACAAGATTGCATGCAAGACGTGATCCGGGAGATAGGTTTAAAGCTATAAATCTCAAGCGGTGTTGTTGTAAGCCAACAAATCGTAAGAAATAGGCTGCATGAATACGGCCTACGAGCACGACACCCAATTAGGTGCCCACATACACGTCGTAGGAATCGCGCCCATCGAAACTAATGGTGTAGGGAACATTTGACATGGATCCAGGAGCAATGAGATAAAAATGTATTTTGCGATGAGTCCTGGTTTGGATTTAGGCCGGGTACAAGAAGGGTAAGAGTGTATCGTCATCGCAATGCTGAACGACTGAGATGCGTCCAGGACGTGCACCTCTACAGTGGCTCTATAATTATGGTATCGCCGGGGTATTATGAAGAACAGACGAACTGAGCTCGTTAGATCTCAATCCTATCGACCACGTATGGGACATTTCTTTTTAACTTTATTTTATACTACGTATGTCACGGTACAAATATTGTTCTACTAATGAACAATTGAATGAAGGATTTTGTTGCTTTAGCCACTAATGCATCAAAGAATGCTTAGTTATTATTTATAAAAGAAATATATATCTTTCAAAAGTTCAAAACCGAACACCACATTGCTTAGATTTTTATGATGTGTGTATATTCACAGTTAAATTTACAATACGTTGTGATTTTTTGTTAATGACAATAATAATTTATACTCCAAGCTGCAAGATCTGGGGTTGGTCTGGCTCTCCCTCATCCGCCATACTCACCAGACCTTGCATCTACCGACTATTACTTTTTCCAAAATTTAGACAACTTTTTAGTGGGTAAAAAATTCAATTCCCGAGAGGCAGTACAAAATGCCTTTGAAGAGTTTGTTGCCTCCCGTCCAGCTGATTTTTACAAGAAGGGCATCAATAAACCTGCCAAAGCGTTGGCAAAGATGCGTCGATTGCATGGGTAATTACTTCGAATAACATATTTATTCAAATAATATTTGAAAAAATAAGTACTTTCACTTATTGCATACAAAACGGCAATTTCATAGGTAAAGACCTATTATGACTTTATGACCAGGCTTGAAATTAGTTTTAAAACATGATCTATTATTCTGTCCATCATGATACTCGGAGATGTGATCATATTTGCGTAAACCGAATATGAATCTTATGCAGACAGTTTGGAGACGCTCATGTTTGTTCAATTGGTCTTCGGTGAGATCTAGATAGCTAACATCACCATAGTCAAGTATAGGAAGGAGAAGAGATTGTGCTAGGGCGATTTTGGTGTCGGTGGGAAGAAAATTACGAAGTCTTCGCAATGACCCCGCTGCAGCAAATAATTTTCGACTAACCTCCCCAATTTGAGGAGCCCAGGACAAGAACTTGTCCATACAGATCCCCAAGTTCTTCACAGTTTCACTGTATGGAATACTAGATCCATCGAAATAAATAGTAGGCAGTTGTTGGCAATTTATCAAGGAGTTCATCATAGGACTACCTACTATAATTACTTGAGTTTTTGTTGGATTTACTCTTAGCCCATACTGATTACTCCAAGTACATATATGTGTCAAATCTTTGTTAATAGCACTGATAGCTTCGGATATTTTAGCCGGACAAGCTTGTGTGTATATTTGGAGATCATCAGCATAAAGGTGGTAGGAAGAAATTAATCGATCAGTGATGGAGTTGATAAAAACTGCGAAGAGTAATGGGGATAGCACGCCGCCCTGAGGTACGCCCGTAGAAGTAGTGCACCAGGAGGAATAATTATTTTCAATACAAGCACGCTGCTGACTACCGTACAGGTAGCTATAAAACCAGTCAATTACTGATGGAGATATGTTAAGAGAGCGCAGTATTCTGAGCAAGACATCAAAGTCAACGGTGTTGAAAGCGTTACTGAAATCAAGCAGAGCAAGGACCGTCAACTTTCCTTCCTCCATATTGGACCTGATATCCTCCATAATATGAAGGAGAGCTGTGGTTGTACTGTGGCCAGGACGAAAACCCGATTGGAAAGGATTTAGGAGACAATTTTTACAAAGAAAAGAGCTTAGTTGCGTGTGGATAAGACGTTCAAGTACTTTAGAGAAAAAGGGGAGAATAGATATTGGACGATAGTCCGAGAGAGCAGAAGGATTAAATTTTTTAGGGAGAGGAGTGATTTGAGCCATCTTCCACGCTGGAAAAACACTGTTGGATACGGAATAATTAAGAATATGGCAAATCACAGGCAGGATTTCGTCTAGGATAGGAAGTACCATATTACGGCTGATGTTGTCTGTTCCTACTGCGTTAGAAGTTAAAGATACTACGATCTTCTTGACATCACAAGCAGAGAATTGACTGAAAACAAACGAAGGACAGTTAGGAGTCGGCAGAGATGAAAGATAGTTTAGCGTAGTAGTTTTAGTAGTTCCCCCAAAATTAGAGGACGCAGAAAAATATGTATTTAAGGAATTGATATCAACATTTTTTGAAGCAAAATTTGAACGTGATTTGCCGACCCCCAATGTCTTAAGAAATTTCCAGACTTTAACTGGATCACCGTTTTCAATAGATTTATGAATGTGCCAGCGTTAAGCATTCCTACAGACCTTATTGCAGTGATTTCTGATATGGACAAACTTATCCCAATTTGAGGCACTAGGGTGACGCTTGTACTTAGTGTGCCTTCTGTTTCCTTCGCTGTAATTCCTTAATTTCGTCAGTTAACCAAGGAGCTGGTAGATGCCTTACCTTAATTAAACGAATGGGTGTATATAAAACATATAAATATATAAGCTTGTCATATAAAGCAATTGACTCTTTTGAGAAATAGGAAACCTTTTCATCAATGCATTGTGAGTTGAACAGCATACTCCAATCAATGCCGTCGGCATCTCTGCGAAGATCATCGAGATTCATACCACGAAAATTGCGACAGGAAAGTGTTTTGGATTTAGGTTTAGGAGTACGAATTTGATAGGACAGAAAGGTAAGGTCGTGATAGGAGAAGGAATCAGCAGAGCACTGTCTGTCTATGCTCTGCTGAAGAGACAATGATGAGGTCAAGGAGAGAAGAATTGCGGTTTGGCATATTATGTGTGGGATTGAGTGGTAGAATAGAAAGATTGTTAGAATTCATGACAGATCGAAGAGAGGAAGAGCGAGAATCGTTCTTAAGTAAACAGGTGTTAAAGTCGGCCATGACTATGGTATGACTGTACGAAGGTGTTAAATTTTCTAAGATTATTTCAAGTGAAGAGAAATAATCTACTATAATAGGGACTAGGGACTATAATAGATACCGAGAAGTATTTTTGAGTGTTGAAGTACGACTTCTATGAAGATATGCTCGCCAGCATTTGCAGGGGGTGGTTGAGATGACGTACAGACAACGGAGAAAGGAATGTGAGTGCGAATGTATATGGCAACACCACCACCTCGTCCACACACACGATCATTGCGTACCAACTGAAAGCCGGGCAACGAGTACGTTGTGGTAGATAAGCATGGCTTTAGCCAAGATTCTGATATAAGGATGGCGTGTATGTTCGTACAGATGGCGTGTATGTTCGTACAGTTTAAGCTAGTTAGCATATCATTGAAGTGTGCCGGAAAGCTTTGGGCATTTATATGAATGACATTGAAGTTCCTGGGTACACCAGAGAATTGAGCCGAGATTGTATCCGCAAGTGAAGGAATACTTATGAAACTGGTGTCACTACTGGATACCGAAAAATTATCTTCAGTATCACTGTTACCGGTAGATGAAGTCATTGGTGTAACTTACAAAAGAAAATATGTCTCTTGTATAGAATAAATAATACATTTACGTTAAGTATATATACTTAACGTAAATGTATTATAAATATAAAACAACAAATATAAAGTATAATACTTTTAAAATTCTGCTTTAAGACTTCTCCAATCATCTATCCGTCTTCCGGTTGTTTGTCAAAAATAAAAAAAAAAACAGAAAACAAAACAAAAAAGCACATGAAAAACAAAGAAAACCATTCAAAATAACGGCACTAAACAGTATGCATAAACAGTTAATTTAAAGAAACATATTTGAGAAATATTTAAGATTGCGTTACAATGAAAGTAATGAAGAAGATGTTGGTTGTACAATATCATTATTATTATTATTATTATAGCTAGATTATAATTTATTTGATTTAATTTAATTCCTTGATATAATATCACTATAGTGCACTAATAGGTTCTGATCAATAAGGGAACACTGATTTATTGAAAAAAAATCTATTATATTATCCTGATTGCATGGCATCGCTCCTATTATTTGCTTCGAGACTTGAACGTAACGTATGCCAATCGTCCAGTGCTATTTTACGGTAGTCTTACTTCCTCCAAACCTTTTTTCTAAACTAGGTTTGGGATGGGCTTTAAGTCTACTAAGATACGGCTGAACTTCGATTTTTTTACGGGGAACGACTGCAATCAGACTTCCACAACCCAAGTACTAGAAAGACTATTATTGGACATTTTAGGGCTCCCAACATCCGTAATTATTGACACAGATGTTTGTATGGGCACTGGGACCAACGGCTTAACACGGATGGGTCCAGTGTGTTTAGATTGGTCACTCATTCATGGACTGACCTGGCTAGGAATGCAGGAATGCTTAACGTTGCATGTGTTAACCTATTACTTAGCCAAGAGCCCTATTTTATTCATATATGTAAAATAGGTAGATAATAAATTTAATATTGCAGTAGAAAACTTGTTACTGTAAGTATTCGTTTAACTATTCAATCAACATTATGTTAAATAAATATTTTCTTTTTAGTGAGCTTTGCAAAGCTGAGGTGATCCAATGCGATTTTCAAGGATTTGTAAGGAGGAAGACAATATTAAAGATGGTAGAAAAATATCTTTATCGTCGTGGCAGCGCTATTGGTTGCAGATTACAGGAAAAATACTCGTATTTTATGCTTCAAAGTCTTTCAAGGGGTAAGTTAAATGCTTTATTCAAGAATGTTATGTCGATATAAATATCACTTGCTATTCATGGTTAGCTACGACTTTTGCACTTTTATACTTAAAAGCATGTTGTTTCGACTTGCACATTTGAAGGGCTACTCGTAAAGAATAAATTGAATATGATATCTACTGAGGGTATTAAAGTGGCAAGAAAGTGCAAAAAAGTCATCATGGATCTTTTTAATAGTATATAGTGGACATAGGGGTTTTTATCTATAAACCTGTTTGTACACAGGATGAGCCGGAGCGACTTTCGCTTAGACAGATGCAAGGTACTGTCTCTCGATGGATGGTCGGCGAGAATTGTGGATGGTATCAGTGCAGACTCTTTCAATTAATCAATCACCAAACTGGCACGCTATACAAGTTTAAGTAAGTGACCATTATTCAAACCCTCTTATGCACAAACACTTTTTGACTATGGATATGTATTTCTAGATTTTTGCAAAATAAAGCTAACATATGTCATGCAATGAATTGCTGCACAACAAATTTCTATTACGTAGTAAACTAACCCACCTGTCTTACGTCTAAAGTACATGTGAGGGTTAACTTAAATTTATTTGCTAGTTAAATGCTTGAGAATGTTAACAAAGTATTAACCTAAATATAGGCGACATATTTTATAGACAAATATATCGACGACGAGCTGTTATTTCATCGAAAATTACAGGTCATTGACTTATATCGAGGTGACCAGACTCGGCGCGCGAAGTACATACTGAATGTATTTTAAAATTTTATAAAGAGTTTTATAAAGAACATAGTAGGCAGAATGAATGAATGAACAACGATATTGCAAAAATCTTGCTATCGTGACTTCAATCATTTATTTGATTTGACGGTTTCTGCCATGAGTATTTATGGAGGTTTGAGACTTTGTCTGGTATTGTAATTCTAAAGTTCGTAGAAAAATTCTTTAATTGTTCCCCTGTTCTAGGACGGTGTCGGAGGCAACAGCGAGGATGTGGGTGAAAGTGATAGAAGAAGTCACAAATAAGATAGTGAAACCTTTACCAGCTAATCTCATGTCGTTTGAATGATTTGTGTCAGTGTAGTGCTTTTACAGACTTTATAACACGCGTGTTAAGTGATCAGATACAGGAAAATGCAAATCTCGTGGACGTCTCATTGTTATACTATGTAAGTAATTTTGAGTTTTATGAATATGTGTTTAATTAGGATTTAGTAATGTGTGTAAGTAATCAACACAACATCTGTTCTATAAATCTCAGTGTATTATTACATTCACGTTTGTGAGTCGAGTTTTTTGTTCAGGCACGTGTTTTACACATTTAAACTATAATGGTTAGATAACGTATATTTCATAGCTATACTATTTTAGTGACACTAATCGTCTTGACAAGTAATACAACGTTTGAGAATATGTGTGTAGGGTGATCAAAATATTATTTGACTGACGATACGATATCCAGATTTATTTAAAGTTATTAGAAGAATTATTCTATCACGAACAACAGTGGATGTATTTAGTATTTATTTTACTACATATATTGGTATATGTAACTACTATACTACACACACGGATACAATAATTAATTTTATTCAAAGCTTTTCTTGTAATGAAGGAATGCTTTCTGTAAATTTCAAAACTTTAAGGTTTGAAAAATATTGATAATGTTCTATGTTCTGTATTTAACACTCTACACTTCTATCCGGCTATTTCGATGATACCTATTGGTATCCTAAAATACAAGCACTGAATCCGATGGACGATGTTCATTGTCCGGCTAGAAAATGAACATGAATGAGATCATTTAGGAATACCATAAGTGTACGTACAACGACAGACAACTTTTAATTGAAATAATAAAAATGTATTTTGATAAAAAAATCTTGTGCACTCTCTCAACAGTTAATGTTTTAATCTAAAAACAGTTATAGCGGTTCTGTTCTGTTTAATAGTGTTCAAGTACTATTATACAATATAAATTCAAATTCGTTTTGAAGAACATATCACATGATTTAATATTTTAAGTTACGTGCTTATTTTTTTATTATAATATTTATTGATATTAACAACGTCACGCAGTTGCAGGTAGCTAGTTGACTTTCTCGCGTTGTACATACGACTATATAAATACAGTTGTTTATTTTCATTATTTAAATTTTCTTTAATAAGGAAAGTGTATCCTGTATGCCTAAGATTGTGTACTCATAAATAAGGGTCTAATTATGCTTTACTTGCAAGCTCTCTATAAAGACTTGAATGTTTCTTGCCAAAATCCAGGGATTAGTAGTGTTTGGTGAAATGATTGATTTTGAAAATCGTTGTTTCCTCTACCGAAATTAGACCTTTTATATAGATTCCTGGTTCTAGTCTTATTTTCTAATAGTATAATATAACGAGTTTATAGCTACGGAAATAGAAAAGGCAAAGATAACCCACATAGGGTCAGTTCGTGTCTGTCTGTCTGTCTGTCTGTCGAGACCATAAACTTAGTATACTGGCTTAATACTGGCTTAATACAGATGTTAATCTTTATAGCATAATTGAAACAGAAATGTAGTAGTAGCGACAGTACTCAAAGATCACTGTGGTTTGGTAACATATTTTTATTTTTTCGCGTAGGTTTCTAATACAAAGCACAGATATTCAAAGGATTCTTTCATAAGATCACAAAAAACTACTGATCTACACGAGAATTAAATATTAACGCTAAGTTTTCATAGTAAATTAGCTACTTTTGATAGAAAACGAAACAACAATCACGTAGTTTCACAACGACAATTAATTTGCTAACTGCTAATTAAGAATTCACAATGAAATATGAATGTAAACACTAATTATTCCATCACTACTCCCTAGGCGTCGTCCCGAACTCCTGAAAGGTAGCGTTTGTGCACCCGATTCCAGGCCAGCCATAACCCTCTCTCGCCGTTTTCTAAAATGCACTTTAGAATAACAAAACTGTTGGTCAGGGGTACTAAACCGACTTAAAGAAAATGATTGAACGTTGTTAAGACAAAACACTGTAAGTCGAGTTACAGTTTTTTGGATTGACACGGCAGTGTGCTAAGCGCGGTCAGTTTTACGGATACATTATTTTTTATGAAACACGTTTTTTAACCATCGTAAATTCTCAATTTTACCGTATTTATTACATACATTAATTACAAGAATTGCAGCAATACAAAATGAAATATATGCTACAAAAAACAGCAATTTGTAGCAACTATCAGTATTTACCCGTAAATTGTTTTTTTATTTGAATTATAGCTGTATACTACACCAGAACGTAGTGTTCCCTTATTATTTTTTATTTGTTACATCATTCCTCTTGCTGGCCTGCAATCTGTGGACTGATTTCTTGAAAAAGGGCGAAAGTGAGTTATAGGATATCGAGAAAGCGCGCGCCATTTAAATTGACCAAAGAGCTCGCGCAGTGTTGCTAATTAGAAGTCAGATGATACCCAATAAAAACTGCATTAGGTACTTATTCTGGGGTGAATTAGATTTATTTAAATTTTCTACAAAAATAATTATATCAAAATGGTCGTTTCACGGGGAAACAGAATAAACCTGCTAAGTTCACATTTTTAACACATCTCGATTTTCGTGTGTGGCTAAGTACTTCATTCGCGCACTAGTACACCAGTATACTGAGTTTGGGGTTAAGATAAAACATAAAAAGGAGACGAATCAAATGAGACGGCCATTGTATTTTAATAATAAATAAACTTAGAAGGTACTTACCATTGACAGAGTAGACAGAGAAGGATAAAATACGAAAGTCGAATGCGAAAACAGGTACTTTTTGTTTGTTACGCATTCAAATTATTAGGTCCTTAAATATAAAATTGGCGTTTTGTACTGGTGGAATAAAAAGTCTTTTTTTTTTGTAAAATATATTTAATTAATCAAAGTATGCACCGTTGTTATCTATGCACTTTTGCCATCTCATAGGTAGTTCATTGATCCCTTTACCATAAAAACCATGGGGGCGAGAATCAATAAACTCTTTGAAGGCGGTTTGGACTGCCGCGTCGGAGTTGAATTTTTTCCTTGTAAGAAGTTGTCCAAATTCCGGAAAAAATAGTAATCTGTTGGAGCAAGGTCCGGGGAGTACGGTGGATGTCGCAGACATTCCAATTGTAGCTCATCTAACTTAGTGGTTGTTTGTTGTGCAGTGTGTGGTCTTGCGCTGTCGTGAAGCAGCAGTGGCCTAGAGCGATTGACCAATCTCGGTTGTTTAGCAGGTAGTTCTTCCTTCATGGCTTGCAGTTGCTGACAATAGATATCTGCCGTAATCGTTGGGCCAGATTTTAGAAAGCTGAAGTAAACGACACTGGCGCTAGTCCACCAAACACTCACAATTAACTTTTTCTGAGTCAATTTTCGTTTAGGGCAGGATTTAGGTAGGTCTCCAGGGTTCCGCCATTGCGACGAGTGCTTTCGATTATCGTACAGTATCCACTTTTCATCTCAAGTAATGATTCGATTTAAAATCCCGAAGGTCGAAATTTCCATAACGAAAACGTTGAAACCAGAAACGTACCGTGCTTTCTTTTGAGACATCAGCGCCGTACACACCATTAATCCTTCGAGCTGTTTCTGCATCACTGGTACCACGGTAGAACTCGTACTCGTAAATATACCAATATTTCATGTTTTCCATTGTGCGGTAATAAACGACGCCAAAGAAAAAAATAATGAGGAAAAAACAAATGAATGACTGTTTTCAAAACTCAAATGTACCAGCTCAATGAATTTATAAATTTGAATTTGGAATTCTTAACCAAAGAGGAGATATTTCAGATCAAAGTGGTCAGTACGACAAGACGCTAATGTCATATGTAAGGACCTAATATAAAGAGAATGCCCATTCATGGTTTCACTTTTAGATGTTCGCGTCATCATGTTATTTCATATGTAAAAAAAAAAAAGATTTTATTGTGACCTTTCCACCCTACATCAGGGTTTGAAATTAAAATTTACAAGGTATAAACCTTTATTCATTTACCGTTTGCATTTTAAGTTAAATGTTTCCATTATATAAAATAAACCATTAATGGTTAAATGCAAATAAAAGTTGTTTTGAAATAAATTGAAATATTGAAATAATAATTCGTAATGTCACATTACAATATATTGCAGTTTAGTAATCTTATTATTGCCTGTATTCGTAGTTTATTTAGTGAATGTATGTCAGTGTTAGTTTTGCCTTAATTTATACATGGGATCCCTGGTATGGTATCAAAAACACGATGCCACAAAAATATTATTTAAAAAAAAAAACGAACTAATATTTTCTCGTTGTTAATATTTTCACATTTTATTTCTCAATAACTATAAGTTATGTTACAATATACATTATTATTTCAGATAATTCTTTCGTTTTTTATGTTCATTAGGGGACAGACGAGCATACGGGTCACCTGATGGAAAGTGTCTGTTGCGATTTTGCCGCGTTGCCAAAAGTGTGAAACTGATTTTCATTCTGAAATGGGCATTCTCCTTTACAGTTGCGGATTGTTCTTTAAGGAACCCAACTTTAGAGTTAACAATATTAAATATAACTATTGATTGAATAAATCTACATAAACGCAAACAAAGCCGCGGACATGACCTAGTAATACATTGAAAAAAAATAGGGCGAGAAAATTGAGTTTGACGTACCTAAGTAGGATTAGAATATCAAATCAACAATTTTTTCCCGAGCTAATGCAAAAAACAAACAAGTTCGAACGGAACGTTCTGTGTACAATTTTATTTAGACTTGCACTCGTCCAGTTTAGAAAAGATTACATCAGCTTTTTGTTTAGTGTATATGCTAAATAAACCTCGCAGAAGTTAATGAGGTAGGCAGATTAATATGAATATATACGCCTACAACGTGGAAAGTTAAAAATATTTAAGTAGGAAGCTCGCTGTTAAAGCTGATATGAATTGCAACGTTTTTTAGTGCTCCGCCCGTGTCGCTCATATAAAATGAAAAGATTATTGACTATAATTTACACAACGTAAATACATATGTGTATGTATAATTGCCTGTATAACATCGACTATAAAGTTAATAGT